TTTTCTCTGACAGGAAAATTTCAGTCTGAGACATTGAAATGCCAATAGTGATCCTTGAAGACCCAGCCTACCCCTTGCTTCCGTGGCTCATGAAGCTGTTCACAGGCAGCCTAAACTGTAGCACAGAGCAGTTCAACTACAGGCTGAGCAAGTGAAGATTGGAAGTAGAATGTGTTTTGGGCAATTAAAGGGAAGGCTCTGCAGTCTGCTGACTAGGTTAGACCTCACTGAAAATGACATTGACACCACAATGGCAAAGTGCTGTGTCCTCAATAATATTTGTGAGAGTAAGTGGGAAATGCATCTGTCCGGGTGGAATGCTGGGCACAGCATCTAGCCATGGATTTTGAGCAGCCAGACGCCTGGGCAGTAAGGAGAACACAGTGAGGGGCAGCTATAATCAGAGATGCTTTGAAAGACTATTTTATGAATGGCCAATTTTGAGAGTCACGGATGTCAATCTCAATGAGGTGTCCCTGCATTCAATCTGTTTGCCTGTAAGCACTCACCCCCACAAGCAATAAGAGACTGTTGTTCACAAATCATGCGTTCTTACTAAGGGAACACAGAGCAGTGACAGAAAAGGAGTCCAGGGTAGAAGTATAGGAAGTGTGTGGGTGCTCACAATGGACCCACAAAAAAGGGGCTCTTGAAAAATTTCACAAGGATTTCAACTTCCACCCCACCATCAAACTCAGCCTGGACCACTCCACACAAGAAATCCACTTCCTGGACACTACAGTACAATTAAATAATGAACAAATATCCACTACCCTATACCAGAAACCCACTGACCGCTACACTTACCTTCATCCCCTCAGCTTCTATCCCAGATACATTTTTCAATCTATTGTATACAGCCAAGCCCTAAGATACAACTGGATTTGCTCCAATCCCACGGACAGACAAACACCTACAGGATCTTTATAGAGCATTCCTAAAACTGAAATACCCACCTGGAGAAATGAAGAAACCGATTTACAGAGCCAAAAAAATACCCAGATATGAACTATTTCAATTCAGACCCAAAAGGGAGAATAACAGAATCCCACTTGTTATCACCTACAATCCACAACTCAAACCCCTCCAACGCATTATACACAATCTGCAACTCATCTTGGAAAATGATCTCTCACTCTCAGAGGCCTTTGGGGAAAAGCCTATTCTCGCTTACAGACAACCCCCCGACGTGAAATGCATTCTTTCCAGTAACCATGCTACACAACCACATCCTAAACATCCCGGAACCCAGCCCTGCTATCAGCCACAGTGCCAACTCTGCCCACATATCTATACAAGCAAATTCATTACTGGAGCCAACAACATAAGCTACCAAATCAGAGGATCGTAGATCCAGCAGTTGATCTAGATCTATGCTATCAAATGCCAGCAATGCCCCATTACTATATATATTGGACAAACTGGACAGTCCGCATGGAAAGACTCAATTGACACAAATCAGATGTACATAAAGGGAACATACAGAAACCTGTTGGGGGAACGCTTCGATCTAAATAGTCACTCTTTAAAAGATCTCCAGGTGGCTGTCTTATCACAAACCAATTCTACAAGTCAAATACTCAGAGAGGTGTTGGAATTACTGTTCATCCATAAGTTCAGTTCTCATGCTAATGGCCTCAATCGAGATGAGGGATGGCTGGGGCATTATCAACCTAACATTCAGTGAAGGTGCAAACAGCTCTTTGTCAGTGTAGATTCTCGCTATTGCTATCCTTTGATCCTTATCTACTTCTTTTCATCTATCCAATCTTCAGGTATTTATAGATGCCAGTTCTGCCTACTTGTTTTTCCCTTTGATATTTTTATACCCTCTTGTTTCCCTCTTTTTTTTTTTTTTTTCCTCCTTCCCCCATCTCCCTTCTTCCCTATTTATTTTGGGTCTGCATATCCTAAACTCCGGTCATCTGAAGATGTGGGCTGTACCCAGAAAAGCTCATGATACCATCTATGTTTTGTTAGTCTATAAAGTGCTACCAGACCATTTGTTGTCTTTTTTTATAATTGTGAGGAGGACAGCCTTTTGGTTTGTGATGCATCCCTTGGGGGTTGAATGTGAGGCTGCCCTTGACTCTTCCCTTTTCCCACCCCCATGTTCCAGGGTCCCTCCTAAAGGAGGCTGTAGAACTTTGGGAGGAGGGAACGTTGATCCACAAGAGCTGGGGAGTTGCCTATTCAGGAAGGAACACTGGAGTGTCACCATGCAGTCCATCACATTCAATATGAATGACAGACAACACTTTCTCCTGGTGCTTTTGCTTCCTGTTCTCATGCTCTCTTTTCCTGACACTTTGCACACCTCTCCTCCAGCAATGTATTCCTCCACTCACTTACTCGTTCCCTATCCAAGTTGGTGAATTGAATTTGCTCCTTGAACATTTCTTCCTTAGTCCGTTTTCACCTGAGGATTTGTGCCAGGCACACAGCTGGTAGGGCTAGGGGAATGCACAGCAGCTGATTCCTGTTTCCACCTGTTTCCACCATAATGAAAAGTGAAGGGTAGAGTGTAAAGCCTAGTCTTTTAGAACAAAATTAAGGTCTCTCTGAAGATAATAGGAATGTGTTCTATACAAGGCCACAGTTATATTTTTTGTCATTTTGCAGCCGGTATATGTCAGAGTTCTTAGGGAAGCAGCTGGTCTTGTTGTAGTGGCTAGCATGGTAAGAAGCAGGCCAGGCCATGGGTGGGCAAAAATGGCTCCAGTTGTGGTGGAAGGGCAGAGGCTTGTGCAATGCCCATGTGTTTCACCCTCTCCCAGCAAATGAGAGGTGCTGCTTTCCCTTGCTGCAGGAGCAAGCTAGTGGGAAGACAGAGAGGGTCTGGGCATGGTGTCAGGGCAGAGGCTCAAACCGTGGTTCATTGAAGATGAGCAATGGAAGTTTGCTGTAGAGGCATCAGCTATAGCTTCCGCTGCTTCCACCAGGTTGTGAGAGATCATTCTTCTCCGAATAACACAGTGATAAGGAATGTATGCAGACCTGGCTTGGCATGGAAAGGTTTCCCTACTTTTGAAGAGCATAGGCTCATTGGTGAATCCTCATGGTTACAAACATCTCCGTCCCCCTGCTGTGTCTGTATCAGAGGCAGTGGGGGGGAGGGAAGTAGGAGTGGGTACACATGGGAAAAAGACTTAAAAGTTGGCTCCCTGCGAGCACCAGCTCCTACCTGCTTCCCTCTTCCCCCTGTATGTAAACATGTAACTACTGAAAATTTCAGAGGTTATACATGTACAAAAATAATAGCATTTGAACATCCCTAGTTGAAGACAGAATAAGGCAGGCCGCCACAGAAACTGAGAGAAGAATTAAGTTCCTGTATGAGAGCTTTATGGAGAGATGCAGGGAGGATTCGTGTTTTGTCTCCAAACATGTTAACATACTTCTGGGGACCCCTACTGTGTAAGCATAGTGGCCACCACAGATCACACCAGATTATTAAAAATGGGTTACAGCAAGATTAAAAAAAAAGTAAACTCATCAGAAGTGCCCACCCCAGGATTAGTGCCCGACTGTGAGATTTTCTGGGAAGAGGGGAATGTCTCAAAAATTATAAAAAGTTTTTGGCTCTCGGTGACCTTGTTTGCCCTGCTCGCCTGCTGACCATTTTCCTCCTCCTCTTCCTCCACCATGCTGTCCTACCTGCTGCTGCCTGAGTATCTTGGGAGGAATCCGTGGTCTGCCTTCAGAAGCTGATAGGGACTCCTCCACAACAAAGATCACATTCAGCTGCTCATAGAAATGACATGTTTGCAGTGATGCTCCAGACCATCCATTTGCCCCCTTTGTCTTTTGATACAAGTGTCTCAGCTACTTTATTTTCATGTGGCGCTGCTAGGTGTCCCTGGCATATCCTTTCTCCTCCATGTCCGTCCCTGGCGATCTTAGCATAGATATCTGTGTTTCTTTTGCTGGTTCATAGTTCTGGCAGAATGGATTCCTCTTCCCAAACAGCAATGAGTTCCAGGACCTCCTGCATGCTCCATGCTGGTGCTTGTCTATGACCTGGGGAACTCCTGGAGCTCATGAAACTTGAACTCATGATCAGGTGTGCTGCCTGCCCTGAGGTCTGCTCGCCACACCTGCCACACAGAAAATGAAATTCAGATTTTCCTGGGGCTTTTCCTGTTCACCTAGAAAGCAGTAGAGTTGAAAGTCCTGGCCAGTCAGTCGTGGGTCACTGTGGGACACCTCCTGGATTGTTTGATTTTCACAGTGCTGCATTTGCACTACTGGAAAGTTGATCAAGATAGACTGAATTTAGTAGTTACTCCTTGTGAAAGCAGTACAGAAATTTACTTTAATGGCCCTTTTGAGTGGACAGAACTGGTTTGGTAGTGTTTTTAGAAAATCAACCTAAACTCCCAGTGTAGTAGATCAGGTCGCAGCATTCACCTTTCTAAATCTTTGCATCTGCAAAATAGACTGTACTCTCTGTATCTCTTAGGCAGAAGAGGACATGAAGCACACATCACATTTTTTTAGTTGAGGTCATATTTCTGAACAGTCCTATAGGTGTATGTTAAGAAAATCTCCCATATTTGAGGAGTCTATCTCTAATGAATTCATCAGTCCAGATTATTCCGCCAAACATTTTTTGGATCTGCTTGCTTGTTTTCACTTTCTGCATTACAAGTAAAGTTCAATGGCTATAACTGAAAAAACATTAAAGTGAATTTTCCTTTATTTTGAGTTTACTTGTATATTTGACACTTTGTATAGTTACTGTCTCTGAGTGAATCACCACATATTAACAGTATAAACACAAGATTGTAAATGCATAGAAATTGACAAGGAAACTTGGGGTCTGCTGTACCAAATAAGACTTTGTTTTTTAATTGACCAGCTTTCAACTTGACTGTGGGTAATGTTTTCAAAAGCACCTGCAGCTCATTTTTTTAATTCAGTTTATCTTTATGTATGTCATAAGGTACGCAAAAGTATTTTAATCGCAATGACATATTCACATTATACATCTTTATCAGTTACTCCTATGGGCTCAAGCAGTAATCAACCTCAAGAAATTGAAGATGGTGAAGCTGGCTTTGCTTTATTGTTTCCTAAAATTGATGGTGTGAAAATCCATACCTTCCACTTTTTTAAAGACTTGAAGAACAGGGTCTTTGATGAAAGCAAATTCACTGAAGCAGGCAAGTAATTTAATTTTATATAAAATTCTTTGTGTGCTGTAGCCTCAGTTTTACTGGAGCTTTGTGTGAAGTGAGTTGCTGTATTTGTAACTGTCAAATTCAAGTAATTCTGTGACAGTGTCTGTGGACATAAACCACCATGTGAAGCATGAACCACCGTACAAATGCAAAAATATGAGGGTGTGAGGTATTAATAACTTTGTTTTCCCAGCAGGGTATTAAAGTACAAAGTGTAATCTCTAGATGTGAATTTTGATCTTTTCAGTAAAATTTTTGAGCAGTGCTGCTGTTCCTGCTCAATTCAAGAGTGGGGATGTAACAATCCCTGTACAATGATTTTCTTTTGGTAGCTGCTTGCTTTATTGAATAGTCAACACAAGATCAGGACTGTGCAACTGAAAATGTTTTGATTGTCTGAAACCTCCAAACCCTTTTAAACTTCAACAACTCTAGTCCCCAAATTGTATGCTATGGTGAGGAGCAGTAGAGTGTGGAAGTGAGCAAGAGTCCTCTGGTGAATATAAAATAATGTACAGTCAATATAATATGTACTTAGCAAAATGTCTTGTTTGTGACGAGTAATTTGGCCAGTTTCTTTTCATGATCTGCTGACTTCTGGGAATTGACAGGTACTTTTTCTGTGGCTGGAAAAACCCAAAACAGTAATTATTGAGGGAGTCAATGAGAGCTGAAGGGGATTTATACCATCTGGCTAACAAAGGACGCGATGGAGGAGAATCTCCACATTCGTGTGCGTGTGTGTGTGAATAAATATATCTTTGAAAATGCAAGCTATCTAGCCCACCACTTGAGGGCCCAGGGTGAGTTGTGATAGAGCTTCTTCATAGTGCTGCAATAGCAGTGAACTAGGCAGTATTATGGAAAGTGATTGAGTGTAGGTGTAAAATAAACATGAGAATAATTCAAATGTTTGGATTTCAGAGACTGAGACCCTGTTTTAAAGATTAAAGTGTGTGTTGTTTGTTTTTTGGCATTCCCAGGTCTTAAGAATAATCCAGAGCTCCGTGTGGTTCTTCTATTTGCCTACAATTCCTGGAAGCCAGGAGCTAATCGGTTTCTTCATCAGATAATCAATTGTTTAAATGAAAAAAGTATCATCTTGGCTGGGGGGCATGTGGAGAGCTTGACGTCACTGATCTCTGAGAAGTGGGTATCTCAAGTTAATTTGAGACTGGTACAGAACTGTGAGTGAGAGATCCCTCTAGTCCCCTGACACCAATGCCTCTCACCCTGCGCACAGGTGTGCAATTAATGTGTTAATTGCAGGCGATAACTGTGATTGACAGTCCTAGTAGCCACAGTATTGGATCCTCAGACAATGTTATGATTGCAGTACTCCTTTAAACCCCATTGTGCATAGGTATTGCAAGTTTGAGACTGCTGTGATATAGTATGTTTATCAAGGGAAGAATCCAAAAAAGGCAAATATCAAAATATGTTCATTATGGCTAATAGGTCACAACTTAAGATAACTCTAAAAGCCAGCATGTCCTGGCAACCAAGAAAAAGGGAGAAGCAACAGTAGTCACAAGCTTTTACTATCTGTCGTCGTCTTCTTACTGCTGCTCTATTTTGTTATTTGAATTCTGAGTACTAATTTGTCCAGAGGGTAGCAAGCCTATACACAGAAATAAATGGATATAGAGTCCCTGGCAAACTACTTAACTACCTAGTTTGGTGATCCCACAGATTCAAATCAGTATTGGCACATAGAACTCTGTTAATGCCCAAGGAGGACAGCTTCTCGTTGCTGAGGCATAGGAAAAGTTTGCCATTAGCTAGTGTGTACTGTGATGCTCTCTGGTATTTGACTAGACTTACACAAGACTTACACTACACTTTTGTTTTAGTGTGTGAACGTAAAGAAAATCCAACTTTAAGATTGTCATCTATATTAGATGTTCAGTTTACATATTGTTCTAGTGCAGCCTGTTTAAATCTAGAGTGGTTCCATTGGAATCTTTTCTGATTTGCTGTATGTTATCTTTCAGTAATGCTGAGGCTGGTAATTCCTGTGGTGTGGTTGGATTGGCTTTCAGTGGACCCCAGCTACAGAGTGCTACGGTTTTGTTAGACCAGGATGTGATTGACGAAAGGACTGTAGAAGCAGCAATGCAGCGTCTCAAAGCAGCAAACATTCCTGAGCAGAACACCATTGGGTTCATGTTTGCATGTGTTGGCAGGGGATACCAGTATTATAAAACCAAAAGGAATCTTGAAGCAGATGCATTTAGGAAGTTTTTCCCTAATGTCCCCCTATTTGGCTTTTTTGGTCATGGAGAAATAGGATGTGATCGAATAGTCACTGGGAATTTCATACTTAGAGAATACAATGACATAAAGGATGATCTGCTTCATGGTTATACTACAGTTATGACTCTTATTCATCTTGGTTCAACTAAAGCAAACCAAGTTTAAACTTGTTTTTTTAAATACATCAGCTAAGGTAAATGGGTGTTTCTGTTCCAGAAAACTGAAAAACTTGGGATGTACATACATATATCAACAGCACTTTCCAAAATCTAAAGTTGTCATTTTTGTAATTTTATAAAATCATGTAGTCAGGACAGAGTTTAACACAATATGTATAGGGAAGCTTTGCATTTTGTGTAATACTGTGGAGGTCAGAACAGCAAGTAAATGTAAATGTGTTCAAATTTTACAATACAAGGATGCTTTTCTTTCTCTTAAGGCTAAAAGAGAGCATAAATGGCAGTGTAGACTAGCATCAACACTCAACAGTATATGGAGAGGTAAAGCATCAGTGATGTCTTATACATAAAAAAGTCTTTAAAAGCTGCTTATTTGTATGGTTCCACCTTTACCTGAATCTTCTCTCAACAGATATCTGTACATTCCATCTATATTCAGAACTGGGCCCTACCTACAAGTAATAACATCTCTTTATTAGGCCAAACAAGTGAGAATATTTGGGCAATAATCATGAAACATTCATTGAATAAAATCTATACATATATTTTAGAGAGCATTTGTTTGTGTGTCTGTCTGCGAGTCCACTTGTTCAAGAACTCCTAAACGTAATAGAGAGAGCTAGCAAATGTGGTATGCAGCATCATAGAATCATAGGGTTGGAAGAGATCTCAGGAGATCAAGGCCAACCCCCTGCTAAAAGCAGAACTAATCCCAACTAAATCATCCCAGCCAGTTAAAAACCTCTATGGATGGAGGATTCCACCACCTTCCTGGGTAACCCATTCCAGTGCTTTACCACTCTCCTAGTGAAATGGTTGGATATTAGGAAAAACTAAGACCTCCCCTGCTGCAATGTGAGACCATTGCTCCTTGTTCTGTCATCTGTCACCACTGAAAACAGTTTCTCTAGATACTCTTTGGAACCCCCTTTCAGGTAGTTGAAGGCTACTATCAGATCTCTTCCCCCCGCCCCTTCTGTAGACTAAATAAGCCTAAATTCCTCAGCCTCTCCTCATAAGTCGTGTTCCAGACCCCTAATAATTTTTGTTGCCTTCCACTGGGCTTTTTCCAATGCATCCACATCCTTTCTGTAACAGGGGCCCTAGAATTGGACACAGTGCTCCAGATGTGACCTCACCAGTGCCAAATAAATGGAAATAATCACTTCCCTAGATCTGCTAGCCGCATGCATCGCAATATGCTGTAAGCCTTCTTAGTGACAAGTGCACACTGTTGACTCATATCCAGCTTCTCATCCATTGTAATCCCCAGGTTCTTTTCTGCCGTTCTTACCCACTCAGTCCCCAGCCTGTAGCAGTGCTTGGGATTCTTCTGTCCCAAGTGCAGAACTTTTCACTTGTCCTTGTTGAACTTCATCAGATTTCTTTTGGCCTCATCCCCCAATTTGTCTAGGTCACTCTGGGCCCTAACCCTACCTTGCAGTACATCTACCTCTTCCCCTAGTGTCATATACGAACTTGATGAGAGTGCAATCCATCCCCTCATCCAGATTGCTAATAAAGATGCTGAACAAAATTGGCCCCAGAACTGACCCTTGGGGGCATTCCACTTGATACAGACAACCAATCAGAGATTGAGCCCGACGATTTAGCCAGCTTTCTATCCATCTCACAGTCCATTTATCAAAGACACACAGATTTACCCAGGAATTGAACAAAGACATTTCTTAAATGGGCCATTATATTCAACACCCAAATGACATCAAAAGCTAAGTAACAGGCACTTCTAGCCCACTCTGTTAGCCTTATTTAGCATAGACACTTTAATTGGCCATTTTTTTCCCTCTCCTTCTCCCCTCTTTTTCTGCTATATATTTGTACCCCTAGACTCCTTGCTCCATTCATCTGAAGAAGTGGGTTGTGCTCGCAAAAGCTCATGATACCATCTCTATTTTTTGTTAGTCTCTAAGGGTATGTCTACACTACCCTCCTAGTTCGAACTAGGAGGGGAGTGTAGACATACCCAAAGGGTATGTCTACACTACCCTCCTAGTTCGAACTAGGAGGGGAGTGTAGACATACCCAAAGGGTATGTCTACACTACCCTCCTAGTTCGAACTAGGAGGGGAGTGTAGACATACCCAAAGGGTATGTCTACACTACCCTCCTAGTTCGAACTAGGAGGGGAGTGTAGACATACCCAAAGGGTATGTCTACACTACCCTCCTAGTTCGAACTAGGAGGGGAGTGTAGACATACCCAAAGGGTATGTCTACACTACCCTCCTAGTTCGAACTAGGAGGGGAGTGTAGACATACCCAAAGGGTATGTCTACACTACCCTCCTAGTTCGAACTAGGAGGGGAGTGTAGACATACCCAAAGGGTATGTCTACACTACCCTCCTAGTTCGAACTAGGAGGGGAGTGTAGACATACCCAAAGGGTATGTCTACACTACCCTCCTAGTTCGAACTAGGAGGGGAGTGTAGACATACCCAAAGGGTATGTCTACACTACCCTCCTAGTTCGAACTAGGAGGGGAGTGTAGACATACCCAAAGGGTATGTCTACACTACCCTCCTAGTTCGAACTAGGAGGGGAGTGTAGACATACCCAAAGGGTATGTCTACACTACCCTCCTAGTTCGAACTAGGAGGGGAGTGTAGACATACCCAAAGGGTATGTCTACACTACCCTCCTAGTTCGAACTAGGAGGGGAGTGTAGACATACCCAAAGGGTATGTCTACACTACCCTCCTAGTTCGAACTAGGAGGGGAGTGTAGACATACCCAAAGGGTATGTCTACACTACCCTCCTAGTTCGAACTAGGAGGGGAGTGTAGACATACCCAAAGGGTATGTCTACACTACAGCATTATTTCAAAATATCTTATTTTGAAATAGTTAATTCAAAATAAGTTTTCGAAATAACGCGTCTACACACAAAATGCATTTCGAAATCGTGTTTTGCTCTTTCGAAATAGCGCATCCACACTGAGTGGAAGCTGAATCACATTTAAGGCCGGCCGGAACCAGGTCCAACAGGGCATCAGGTCAGGAGTTGCTTTGTGTGGCTGCTCCTGACGTCAAATTAAATACATGTATTTTCATGAACACAAACTCTCTTTATTTAACAAAACTGGGGGTGGGAATAAAACTCTGGTGAGACTGGGGAAAGGAGAGGGGAGAGGGAAACCAGGGAGGAGGGAGCTGGAAGGGGGAAGCAAGAGGAAGGAGGAGGGGATGCTCAGGGTTAGGGGTCTCACCGGATCAACTTGATTTTCATGCAAACCTGCTCCTGGGTTCACATGTGGCCTTTTGTGGCCAGGCTGGCAGCTATCCTGCCATTGACGGCCGTGTTTCTCTGTCTAGTGCGGAGATCATGGGTGTTGGGGGCCCCCCCCCCCAACTTGAATAAGGTCCATGAACTCTGCCCTGGACCAGGAAGGTACCCTGGTCCCTGGCAGGTTCCTGGGAGCTGGCAGACTGGGCCTGAGGAGCTGTGGAGGGCTGGCTGGCACTTCATGTTTTGGGGCCACTGCGTCGGGGCAGTGATTGCTGGCTCTGGGCTGGCAGGCTTGGAGCTGGCACAGACACTGTGGCCAGAGTCAACCCCTTTAAGGGCTCCGGGGAGGGAGAGGAATGTTCTTGGGAAGGCTGGAGGCCCCCTATTTTGAAATAAGTGTCTACACAGTGTTTATTTCAAAATAGCTTTTTTGAAATTGGCATTATTCCTCGTGGAATGAGGCTTACCAAATTCGAAATAAGTGCTCTGCTATTTCGAATTAATTTCGAAATAGCGGTTTGGCTGTATAGATGCTAGTAAAGTTATTTTGAAATAACGGCTGTTATTTCGAAATAACTTTGCTGTGTAGACATACCCTAAGGTGCTATAGAACCATTCAATGTTTAAGTTTTTTTTAGTTACAGACAAACATGGCTACTCTGAGACTTACAATGAACAGAGAATTTTTCCCAGGGTTCTTTGGGCTGAAGTTTTTAAATGTAGTTTTTCTCTTATTACTGCCTCTGAGCAATACTACTGAATTGATAAAATGTTAACTTTACCAGATACTGAATTTATAAAGCCTGAAAGAGTAAATTTAGAAATTGCTGTGTTTTATATTATAGTTTTATTATAATTCAAATATTTTAGTAGTATTTCATGAATTGCTAAACTACAAATCAGATAACTGACATATCCTTATAGGAACTGTCACAGAAACTCTAAAATGGGAGGAATATTCTGATTTATTATGGTTATTTGATCTTCAGTAGGAAATAGATTTTTTTGGTCTTGAATATATTGCTTGCTTGCTTTTCTGTAAACTGTTGAAAATAACTATCCGTAGAACACACTGCAAATTTTTGGTAATATGACATGTCAATTGGAAAACTGTCACTGAAATTTAGCCTCATAGTTATATCAGGTCTACCTTGTTTCTCCCCAAGGGAGAAATCAGAAGATCATTTAATTCTCTACCACGTTACCTTGCCATTTAGAAAACATCAGGTTATTGCATTTTTCTACCGTCCCTTTGGTAAAGCCTGTTTGATGTGACAATATTTAACTGTGGATATGTATATTGTATTTCTTCATCCTCAGTTATTTGAATCTTTTTTGCTCAGCAGCTCTTGTGAAGAGGCCCCATATCTGAAATACGTGCCCTTTAAAAAGTTCTTACACAAGCTTTCCTTCAGCTGCTGCTGAATTCGACTGCCGTTGATTCTGCAAGAATTTGAGTATTGATGACTAGGGAGCATTTCCGCATTGTGGACTATGAAATCCCGCATAGACATTTGTCACAAGTTTCTTCAAAAACTTTATGGTGTAAAATTATATACCTCTCCCTGCTTACCAATGCTCAAATTATTGCTGAGTCAGCAGCAGTGTAATTCAGCAGCAGATGAAGGAAAGCTTGTGTAAAAACTTTTTTTTAAAAAGACACATATTTCTGATATGGTGCCTTTTCGCAAGAGCTGCTGAGCATGTGCAGCTTTTATTCTCCCATGAGATAAATTTGGTGAAAGAAGAAAGTGAACACTTCAAAGGACAAGACCTGCAGGCCAAAAATGGTATTTAAGATTGTTCTGGTTTATAGGAAACAAATATCTTGCTTTTACATGTATGTTGAATATGATCAGAACATTCTTAAATGTTTTAATCTGTGGTAAAATGAATAGCCTATGGCTGTGTCTACATTGGTGCAATCTTGCACCAAAGTGGCCACTTTTGCGCAAAAACATGCTGCCTGTCTACACTGGCAGGGAGTTCTTGCGCAAGAACACTGACGTTCTAAGAAAACGTGTGAAATCAGTGCTTCTTGCACAAGAACTGTGATGCTCCTGCTCAGGAATAAGCCCTCTTGCACAACTGTTCTTGCGCAAGTGGCCAGTATAGACAGGCAACATGAATTTCTTGCACAAGAAAGCCCAATGGTTAAAACGGATGCTCTTGCGCAAAAGCACATCACTTGCGCAAAGGCACATGCTAGTGTAGATATTCTCTTGTGCAAATACTTTAATGCAAGAACTCTCGCGTTAAAGAGTATTTGCACAAGATCATGCCAATGTAGACGTAGACTATATCT